TCTCACCTACATCGTCCATATAGGACGACTCGGGAACTCAACTCCTACCCCGGGCAGCTCACCGATCCCCTTATGCCCAGGGGAAAGGTATCAAGCCGTTTGACAGCAGATGCTGGCTGTCAAACCGGCTTTTACGCAAAACAGGCGGGAGGCAGCAAACAGCTGCGACCAGCGAAATCGCCTGCCACCGGAAGTCTCTGTGTTGTTGAAGATCTTGATCTCAGTTTATGCTGTTTCATATTTTGCTTTTAGGTTTTGTGGAGTTTTGGAGAAGTTATGAAGTTTTAATTTTATATCAGTCCCTCAGAGTTGCATAAACAAACAAATAAAATATTAATGTCCTGATCTGGACCTTCGATGCATCCAGATTTAAATTCAGAAAATACAGTAAAAAGCATGGATGTCCAACCTTTTGGCTTGCCTGGGCTGCATTGAGTGAAGAGGAATTGTCTTGGGCCATATATAAAGTATATAATATAGTTGATAAACAACAAACTTTCTTTAAAAGTTTACAATCTTATGGGGTTGTGTATCCAGCTTGAGAATCCAAATAAAACTCCAGATTCATTCTGTTTCTGAAAATCTTACTGTTTATTGAATGCACTACATGATAATGTTGAAGCAAAACTAACGCTGAGGTTCCAGACACCAGTTCATAGAATTAAACAATAATTTCTCCAGCCAAACCCCCAACCTCTCAAGTAGTCCATGTAAGTAAACAATTTCACTTTGTTATGGGAACCGTCTGCTTCCTCTCCACACCTGCTGCGGTGTCTTTGGAAAGGTTTCAGGCTCTCATGGTCTTCAGCGGAATTGTAGAGGTTTCGTTTCTCCATCTAACCCACTCTAAACCAACACCTCCCCCCCTTACTCTAATGGCAAGTTGAAATGAAGAGGCACATAGCTGTCAAAGTTTCATTCTTGACACTGCGTTACTAACTGCAAGTGGCTTGTAGACCATGGGTTGGACATGCCTGGAATAAAGTTAAGCTATTGTTACTATAAACTATTCTCTCAACAATTCTGTCAACTATTGAGTTAGATAAAATATTATTAGGAACCGAAGACAAAATGATTAAAAGAATATACCACTACCTTCTAGACCAGGCAATGTTTGAAGAGCAGGTCAAGGAAACTATGTTAATGTGGAGTAGGGATTTTGGCTTTAATATTGATTTACATATCTGGCAAGAATTGTGGGAAAGAAACAGGAAACTCACTTTAGCTACTTCTTATAAGGAAAATCTTTATAAGATGTTTTACAGATGGCATTTACCACCCATGAGGTTAGCCAAAATGGGCCCAAATATTTCACCTATATGTTGGAAATGTAAAATAGCAATAGGGACCTATTATCACATGTGGTGGGAATGTCCTAAAGCCCATGATTATTGGAATAGGATAAGAAAATGGTTGAAAGAAATATTAATGTTGGAGATAGAGCTAAAACCTGAACTCTTTTTATTGGGTATAACCACAGATAAATATGCCAAGGGAATAGTCTATTTGATGTTGCACATCTTGACTGCTGCTAGACTGGCTTTGGCACAAAAATGGAAGAACAAAGAAACTCCCACAGATGAAGAGATACTGCATAAAATACTATCTTGTGCTGAGATGGACAGGCTTATGATGGAATTGAAAGATAAAAGCGGATCAGAACATTTTGAAATCTGGGATAAATTGTACCATTGGTGGGAATCGAGGAGGACTGTTGAGATTATAGATTAGCGATAAGATGGAAATATACATATTCTTAAGTTAGCAAATAGAAAAAATATATTTAGTATTGTATAAAAAGTTTATATATATTTATAGAGATAAAGAATTGAACTTAAGAGGAGAAATAATTTGATAGAAATGTTTAAACTGGAATGTTACGTCATGTCCAATTGTATTATAAATAAAAAACTTTAAAAAAAACAATTCTGTCAACTATTATTCTAGCCTAATGTTTATGTCTGTCTAAAAAAAAAGTAGTCATACTTTTTCTAATGGAATTTAAAGGTAACAAAATAACTTAAAAAAACCCAACAATTTCACGTCTAAGACTTCAGTGTTTCACTATGATCTGGAAGTCCCATGAAACTCAGTGCAGCTCTTATGTCTCATTATACATGTGAAAAGATTGACCTGTAAACCCTGCTTGATTGTGTTCAAACCTGAATGTACTTTGACAACTGATCGTGTCCTGAATAACCAAAGCTGTAGCATTTTAACTCATACATAAATTCCTAAAATAAAATGGTAAAGTTTTCAGATCATTGAACAATGTTTTGCCTATGAACCTGAATGAAAGTTCAGCATGATTTTGTTTAAGAAACAGATTAAAAAGGATGCCAATTTTCAGTGAAGTAAAATAGGAAGCACTTACAGATTCAGCTAAAAAGTAGAATGATTTTGGCAAGAAGAATTCATTGTGATTTCAAGGTTGAAATTTTTCAGTAATATTTCTGAAGGTTAATTGCTTCTCCTGTCTTACAAACTATAGATTACCCAAGAATCAGACTGATATTCTGAGGATTGGGTCAATAACTCCCTGTGTCCTCTTCAGCCTGCCCTCAATATTTTTTTCTCCTTGAGGCAAAAGCCAAGATGGCACCATCCACAACCATCTCTGTTTTCCAAATCAATGCCATTGTCTGCTCTCCTGTATCTGCTTTTTGAGATGGTTGCTTCATGGTGCCTAATGGTTGAGCCAGGTTTCCATGGATAATAATGAACAACTGATACAAAAGAAAAACAACTCTTATTGATTTAGAAAGACAGGAAGGGATAATGTTTAAGGTGTATGATATGTTTTTTTATCTCTGATTTGGAAGAGGGAGTGAAGAAATAATATATATATTCATTAATATTCAGTGAAAGAAATCTAAAAACAATTTCCCAATTTTAGAGTTAATTAATAATGCAATTTTAAGGCTTTCAAAACTATATTTAGATTAGCTGAAATATATACAGAAATTATGGAAATAAAACAGTATTACTGAATGGGAAAAATACATTTGTTTTTTAGATTATCCCAATAATATTACCAAAGATAGTATGCCATACTGGGCATTTTTGTACAAAAGGAAGATGAAATCTTCTCTCACAATTTTTGCCCTCAGAGATCTTGGTTTTAGAAAGTATTTGCAAGCTAATTTGTTGAGGAAGTTATTTGATTCCTGAGTCACTGCAGGAATAACAACTGAGCTTTGCCTCTGTTTTATATACTGAGTCCTATAATCCTGAACAGCTTGGAAGAAACTGTTTTCCCTTTCCAATTAACTGTCAAAAAAATTGCAGATGTATACATCTATTTTATGCTTTTATCTAAACTGTTAACCTTAGGAGCCATTTTATGTATATTCGACAGTTAAACTAGGAATGCTTGTTCTCCCCCCCCTTTCTTTGTAGTATCGATCTCTCTCCATTTATAATTGCTACTGATGGTAAAGAAATGTCTCTCTCCCGCCCCCCTTTTCAAAATCTCATGTAAGATCCTTAAGATCTCCTTCTTTTGCTTGCAGGAGTGCGTTTGGATCGAGTACGTGGAGGCCGCCAGAAATACAAAAGAAGACTGGACTCCGAAAGTAGTACTTATCTGAGCTTACAGATTTCCCCTCCAGCCAAAAAACCATGTAGGTGCCAGACTCACAGTCTCTTTATGGATTAAACCTTCAATTTGCATTGATCTCCTTAATTTTTTATTGAGAGAAACAAATTCTCAATAATTTTAATTATACAGCAATTAAATAGCATGGCTTAAATAAGGTCATCTGAGGCTATAGTGTGCAAGTCTAAAGCTAAATTGAATGTTATATAGAAAGCATTTCCATTGACACAACTGACATTTTCTTCCAGCTTATCCTTTTGGGTGTCTCAATTCTGTTTTTCATGGAATCACAGAATAAATTTATGAGACTGGGAGGGCAAGATTGATTCAATAATGGAGGCCATTCTGCTAGTAAAAGTATTATGTTTGCATGATCATACTTATGAGAAATGGAAAATATTCGTATAAATATAAGGAAGAGTCTGTTATTTCCCAGCTCATGTAGCCCTTTAGTCATCAACACAGATATGATGGCCTACCATCACCAATTCTTTTTTCAAGGTTTTTTTTTAACTTGCTAATTTATCAGTTTGTCCATTGCTGATACTCTTTCCCTCAGTCAGTTGATAATAATTTTTCAAGTATTTCATGATAGGACATTGGAGTGGTAATGATATTTAATTCTAGAAGCATTTGGCAAACTACAGAAATAGTTCTAATGCTGACATCAAATGGATATTTAGCTCATGCTTTCATCTATATGAGTCATATACTTTATTTATAATCCTTCTTCTTCATCATCAATATATTTCTTTTATTATTTGTGAATTAATTTTCTAGTAGCATAGATTAACAGAGCTTTTTTCCTACAATAACTAGACCAGGATTTGGCAAATTATCTCCAAAACTTTCTTTTTTCAACCCAGAGCCTCCTCTAATTGTGATTGCTGAAAATCAGTGTGCAACTATTTTAAGATATAAACCCAAGAAATTGTGATAGGTTTAAAGCTTAATATAATTAAAGTCAACATTTAAAAAACTCTGACCCCAGACTGCCGATTCTTAAAATTTCAGTCCATATATGTAAGGCGATCCCAACCACTGTTGCCCCTTACCTCCCAGTTATCTCCCATTTCACTTCCAAATTAATGCTATTCCTGACCACCAAATGTTGCCCATCCCTAATTTAATGCGTCCTCTTAATAATTTCTTGGTTGTTTTGAAACTATATATGTGCAGAAAACATCTCTGAAAAAGATAAGCTCCCCTTTGTTATAGGAGTGTTCATAGGAGTGTTATAGAACTGGGTGAACTATACAATCTGTGTTGGTTCTGCAGTGTCTGTAATTAATAGATTCAACAAAATCAGAAGAATTATGTTCTCTGTGCATGTACTAACAGAATCTAGTGCACTTTACATAAAAATTGCTCATAGGATTAATCAGAAAAATAAAAAAGAGAAGTGAGAAATGAATCATGATTAATTTGTATTTTCTCCCAGGCACTGGGTTAAGGGTTATTGTTACTTTTTTCTTTTTGCATCCTCACTTTATTTCAGGAGAGTTCCATTTCCTTTATAGAAAATATATGTACCCTATATAGATACCCTAGCAAAATTCATTTTAACACTGATTAGTTACAATATTCACCATTTTCAGAAACGGAACTTGATTTTTTGTATAAGAATCTTAAATATATCAATAATTACTTTAAATATATCAAGAGTTACCCTGTAGTAAGATGGGCGGCCGATACATTTTATAAGTAAATAAAATAACACAAGTAAAGATAAGTGAGGATCAGGAAAGAGTCATAACTTGGTGGTAGGATACATAGTTTGCATGCTTAATTTTACAGGTTCAGCCTGATATTTCTATTTTAAAAGGGTCCAACATCAGGTGAAGGATTGCCCAGTGAGCTGCTGGATCAAGATGAAAAGTAGTATATTTCTAATACATTTCAAATAGCATATCCAAAACAGAGGAACAAAAGTAGCCTTGCTCTCTATTTTGTATAGATTTTTTATTTTTTAGTTGCAGGAGTTCACTGTATAAATATATTCTAATTTCTGGTTTGGGATTTGCAGTGACTAAAATAGTCTCCCACTTGCTGGTGGCAGAGCCAGAGAAGATTTATGCTATGCCTGACCCTACCATGCCGGAAAGTGACATCAAAGCGCTGACAACGCTCTGTGATTTGGCAGACAGAGAACTTGTTGTGATCATTGGCTGGGCAAAACATATCCCAGGTAAGAAGGGAGAGCTAAGATGGATACAAAGTGGGGACAAAATTATTCTTGTAAGGGAACTGTAAACTGTAATGGATCTTTGTCTGCTGAGTGGCACAGGAGCAATCCACTCTTCTTTAGCATGTCATGAACAGCAAAATGTTTCTTTCTGTTGTTGCTTTCAATATGTGGAAGGGGAAACATCCATTTCGGACTAATAAAAAAAAAAATATGAGTTCCATTTTCTAATGCCACCAGGATGAATAGGAAGTGGAAATGAAACTGTGCAAATACATCTTATTCGTTGTTATTGTGTTGTTTCTGTTTCTTGAGTTAAGGTACACAGGAGATACAGGAAAAATCTGCATTCTTGAGCAGACAAAGGTTACAGGAGGACAGTTTGTAGCTTCAATATTCTTTTTGCTTGTAGTATGATTTCCAGCACAATTATTGACTTATTTGTATAAATTAATGTATCCATAGCTCCTGGCAATTACACTGTATATTTAGCTTTGACCTGAAAAACTCAAGTAGATAGAGATTTGGAGAAAGAGGTCAGCCTTTAGATACTGCTTCTCAGCAAATCTTAATCCTGGTAGTTCTCTTCTTGAAGGAGGCCTGTTCTGTTAGGGATTATACCGCTCACTAGTTGCACAATCTGCCAGGACCTGATTCAGCACAAACCAAGTTAGGCTACTGATTAAGGCAACTCAGCCTGAAGACCCAAGGGCTGAAGAGAATTAATAGAGAGGATAATCAGACTATGGCTTCTGTAAAACTAACACCAATTATTTCATTTTGATACGGTTCTTCCTGTCTGAGAATTTCTACATCATTTTGTAGTTAACCAGACACTCTGTTGCCCAGGTACAGTTTTAGTTGCAGCAATACCACTTTTTTTTTTTAACTGCTTGGACATATACTGTATATTGTATGTATCTATCTAAAATAGATGAAATGTTTCCCAGATAATATATTCATTGTTTTTCTGGATACAATGTGGACTGCTGTTGCCTTTCACTGGTCCACATTTGACTGTATCTTTTATTATTTATTAAAGCAAAATGTGGCATTTTGTAAAATACAGTCCATTATTTGGAACTTGGCATATTACTTAAACAATTTATTCCTTGACTAATTGAATTATCTCTGGATTTCATTTTGCATTTGGGGATAAAAATTCTGAACATATAATTCACTTGTTAGTTTTTTGTTATTGGCGAAACAATGAAGATGGCTGTTTTAATGAATTTTGTGAAACTAAATTGGGGAACGTGGATGGTCATGAAAGGCTATAGGTACATTTGTCTAGTGGTAGATCCAAGTCTTTAAACAAACATCTACTAACTCAATGCATCATAACTCTCCCCCCCATAGTATCTGGAGGAGCTAGCAAAGTGGGGAAAGGTGGGGCCAGGAGGATGGAAGTGATGAAACAAGCATCACAACAACATGATTCAAAACTATGAGCGATATACTATGTCAGGTGTCAAAACTCAAGTGCATAATAGTGACTTTTTTCTCATGAATTCACTGCATGTATGTCATCATTTTGATGTCATTGCAGTTTGCTGTAGGCATCCATATTTGTATTGTGATATTTCTAACATGAGATTATACGGTAAAGTACTTTCTACAAAAAGTATTTAAATTGTATTTTTGTTAACAAAATTTAGCAGTCTAACCCAGACATGTCAAACTCGCAACGTCATGTGATGTTGCGCAACGTATCGAAACGGTTTTGCCATTGCTTCCGGATGATGCGTCCAGCCTGCGGGCTGGCAGTTTGACACCCCTGGTCTAACCTGATTTTTCAATTCAATTATTTGCATTCTCTGTTAATAAAGAATTATATATATCCATCAATAATATTTAGTAGAAAGGGAGGATTCAGCTACATGTAATAGTATATAATTGCACCCATGTATTGATATTTTTTTAAAACTTGTCATAGTGAAACTTTCCTTTTGTTTGTCAGAACACTGAGACCTCTGTGTGTATATACAATGCCCATGTTTTAAATCTGTATTAATTCCAAAACCTGTCTCTAGAAGTTCCTTATTCTAGTGCAAACTCCCTGTCATAGCAAATAATGAGAGAAAAAACTTATGTAAATATGTATTTATTTACATTTATCAAATATTATTCAGAATTACAGAATAACAGAGGTGGAAGAGACCTTGGAGGTCTTCTAGTCCAACCCCATGCTCAAACCAGAGACCCTGTACTCAAACAAATGACTGTCCAGTCTCTTTTTAAAAACCTCCAGTGATGGAGCACCCACAATTTTTGAAGGCAAGCTGTTCTACTGATTAATTATTTTCACCAACAGAAAATTTCTCCTTAATTCTAGGCTGGATCTCTCTTTGTTAAGCTTCCATTCATTATGTCTTGTCCTGCTATCAGGTGCTTTGGAGAATAGATTGACTCTATCCTCTCTGTGATAGCCCATCAAATATTGGACGACTTCTTATCATTTCAGCCCTAGTTCTTCTCTTCGTTAGACTAGACATTCCCAGTTCCCACAATCATTTATCATATGGTTCAGTCTCCAGTCCCCTAATCATCTTTATTGCACTCTTTCTAGAATCTCAACACCTTTTTGTATAACAACCAAAACTAGAATTCCAAATGTGATCACACTAGTGGAGTACAAAGCAGCACTATCACTACTCATGATCTTGATATTATCCTTCTGTTGATGCAGCCTGGGACTACATTAGCTTTTTTGGCAGCTGCAGCACACTGCTGGCTCATACTAAAGTGATTGTTGACTAGGACTGCTCTCACAATTACTGCTGTTGACCACCAGGTACAACCTATTCTATATTTGTGCATTTGGTTTTTCTTGCTTTACTTTTCTCACCACTGAATTACATTCCATCCCTTCCAGCTTTGCAACTACCCTTGGTATTAATGACCAGAATGTTGCTTCCACTTCCATGATAGGTCTCTGCAGGAAGAAATGTCTGTTGAGAGGTTGTGATGAGAGGGGCTCTCCCAAAGTGCCTATTTTCCTGTTACCTTGGCTAAGAAGATGAAAGCCACACATAGGATGAAATACGGCTAGTGGAATGACAGCAGCTGTGTCTATAGTGATCTCAGATGCTATAATTACATCTCTCTTTATTACAGCTGCTAATGGCACCCCAGGATGACAGAAATTATAATAAATTAACAGATTATGAACTCTACTTGCTGCAAATTATGCATTTTCTCTCTTTGAAAACTCTGCCTTTCAAATGCTGAAAAAGAATGTAAGGTTATGACTTCATGAACTTAAATACTAATTGAAGAGTTTTAACATTCATCTGGGGGGTCCTTCCAAGAGAAAGAGCTCTGGTCCAGAAAAAAAACATTAAAAGCTGCTAGAAAAAAAATTAAATATTTTAACCTTTGTCAAATAAGCATACTTTACAAATCTTTTTTACTTTTAAAAGTGTTAATGTGTTAACCATTCCAGAGGTTTATTTCCAAATAACAAAGTTATTATTTAAGTTCTTAAAGCTATATGACACTTTTTAACTGAGAGTTAAAGGACACCGGTATAATAAAAGTTGTCCTTCTGTAGATTCTTAATATCCAAAAAGCAATTTACAAGCAATTTCGTGTGAAAAAGGTTAAGAAAGGAAATGGTCCAACCTGGTGTGTCTTTGAAGATTCTGAACCACAGCTTGGGAAAAACTGATTTTCCTGGCTTCAACAGTCTTGAACTCTTGTGTCTGATTCTGGTCTTTCATTTCAAATAGTTGCATAAGATGCCTTTATGATTTTTAAAAACCAATCACAGTATACACAAATATCTACAGTTTGCTACTATCTTCCATCTTATTGGTGGCATTCTGTCACTGAATACGAAAGCCCTGTCTTAGGTATCTTGTCTAAGACTTATTAATAAATCAAATGTTTCTATCATTTTTAAATGACACCAATTTGCTGTAATCTTCATACATTTGATTATCCATGCATGAAATCTTTCCCATTATCTTTTCTTTTATATGTTCTGAACTTTAATCTAATGATTCACCTACAATGATCTTCTTTTTAAAAGATAATAAATGAGTCAACTAAATCTTTCTTTATAATAAAAAAATGTTCTTAGAATGCTAATCTTTGAAAAAGTAAAGCCCTCAAATCAAACTTGATTCTTGGTGACTACATCCATGCATTTTCTTGGCAATGGCATGGAAGTGATTGGCCATTACACATTACCTTTTTTTTTCTTGTTTTAACTTCACAGTCCAATCTACAAACCTGAATTTCCTGACAGTTCTCCATCTAAGTATTGCATTAAGGCTAAAGTTCTTTAGTTTCTAATCTGCCATTTTTTTAAAAAAAATTCAGATTGAATCTATGAGCTGATTTAAAGCATAAAATGATTGCATTTCCAAATGGATTTGGAAAGATATAAACATGGATTGGAAATTTGAAAGACTTTTGTTTATGGGCAAAAGCACACTTTTTATGGATCAGTTTGAAAGTCCAAATCAATTCAGTTTTCCAAATCAATTCAAAAATTCAGATATGAGTGGATTGATTTTTCAAAATGAAAAGTCCAAATCAAGTTGGTTCAACTTTACAAATCAGTTTAGGAATTTGAATCAAATCAAACCTTATTTGCATTATTGAACATGAATTGCAGCAAAGATTCATATAGAGTAAATTCTTGATTCTCCAGACCTCCATTAAACATACTCTTGGTGCAACAGCACACAAAATTACTACAGTAGGCAACATGTGTTGCTTCAGAAGAATTGGACAATTGACATAATGGAAGTCATTTGTGTCAATTAATGACATTTGTGTAATTATGAAAATTACATGTTTACATCATCTAAATCATACTTCCCGACACAAATGTACAAATGTCAATTCTGCTGGCTCAGGAATTCTGGGAGTTGAAGTCCACAAGTCATAAAAGAGCCAAGGTTGCCTACCCCTGGTATAGATTATGTCAATGATACAAATTAGGATTTAACAGACATTTGGATTTAATGGACATTACTATCCTCTTAAACAGCCTATTAAGTCAAGCTTTTATAAAATGCAACATTGGACGTTTGTTTTCAGTTTCTTTTCTTATTTTTAATTATAGTTGCTTTTTCTTATGGGAATTAAACAAAGCCTCCACTGTTTCCTCTTCAAATTTTACATTGGAAAGATAGGAAATGAAATCACTACAGTGGAGTCTCAGAAAAGATGCAATGCATTACAAATTTATTCTTCATTCAATGTTGTATCAAAATAAAATAACTCACAATTAAAAATGCTAAAATGCAACAATAAAAATGAAATAAAGCAATGCCAAAAGAACTTTCATTAAAATGTGGGAAAGGGAAAGCAGGCAGAACAAAAGAAAAACATTCCTCCATAATAAACTTTCAGTGAAGGCCTGGATGAAGGAATCAGTTTTCAACAGGAGCCTAATAAGCACCTCACAAATTTCACAAATGGGACATTCCAGGACGCAGTGATAGGTAGCTAGGTAGGTACATTTTGTTACAGTCGTATAAATACAGTGTTATCAGTGCATGGATTTATTTAGCAGGGCCAGGAATAGGCATAATTGGTTTTCCAACCAAAACTGGTGATTGACACTCCTAACCTCAGGATCACTTGGTTCTCTGGTTGATAATTAAGACCACCCTCAAACTACATATTTAATCTTTCTGAGAGTATAGTCTTACAGGCAGATTTCCCAGTTCTTGTGTCTTGTAAACAACTCTTCACAAATGTTCTGTATTTTTAGAATTCAGCCTAAATTGCCCAACCCTCCATTTTTAATATTGCACTGTGATTATTTTATTGCCTGCTCTCCTAACAAACCACCAGGAGAATTTGCTTAAGCAACTGAATGGAAATGCTATCATACTTCATACCATTATGTTACCAATCTGGTTGGGTATATGGCAATACCACATTTTACTATCTGTGTGTTTCCTGATCAGCTTGAATGACTCTCTAAGAAGTCATTCAAGAGCACCAGAGAAGAAGTAGAATTCATAAATGTAGTATTTGATCAGTGCTTATTTCTTTTTATTATTAAATAAGGAAAGAAAAGTGACATCAGACTCTCATGTAAAATATTTAACAGTATTAGCTGAGGTGACAAGATTGTGCAAAGACAAATGATAGGTGATAGAACTGAACCTGAAAAAGAAGTTTTAGCCATCCACTCCTGTTAGAGCTGGAGAATGCTGTAGCCAAAATCTGAAGTTGTATGTACTGTTACAATGTTGAGACAATTCATAAAGGGATACCTCACAAATTAGTAAAAAAAAACAAGCTAGTAGACTGTCTGGTGAATATCTTAATGCAAGATCCAAGCACAAAGTTCATAGTTAAAACGTTTAACTGTATCTATCAAAAGGAGAACAGGACCTGAATTAAAAATTAGATATAATCCTTACCTGGCTGAAGACCTTTCTATATGGTTAGCACAAAATATCTCATATTATATTTCATCTTCAGAGTATGAGTTCTTTGCTGACTCAGAGTAGATATAATGTCTTTAATGCATTAAAATGGTAGGCAATCTTCATGTCTTAATTAATTTTACTATGGAAATTAGAACTTCTTCTGAAGCATGGACATTAAAATAATCTGTGTACTTTGTATATTGTGATTCTCCAATATATGTAAAGCTTTAGGAACACAATTTTGTTACTACCAGTAGGTAAATATAGTGTAACAGTAAAAAAAATCTCCTTTACTCAGCCATGACTGATTGTAGGTGGTTGTTGCTCAGGCATACAGGACAGAACCAAAATTTGTTGTCACCAGGGCATGGCTACCCAGTTTTGCCAAGTTGAGCTCCTTTCCACATTTGCCAAACAAAGATCAAATTTGTAATTCATCTCCAGAGTGCCCCAGATTCCTCTTCAGCTGTCCTCTAATTTCTTCTTGCCCTCTTCTCCAGTGCTTTATTGATCCCTACCTCTTACCCGTCAGACTTCATACACGCACATACAACATGTGACAGCTGATTGGTATCTGTTAATTAATGTGGCTTGAGGCCTCTTTTCTATTCAGTGGCCTGATAAGGGAAATTGGATGTCTAAGGACTGCTATGCCATTATCACCCCTTACCTCCTTTGGCAACACAAATACAAAACAGGGTATAGTGATAGATAAATGCCACTGACCCATCCCTCTGCCCTCTCTTCCTTTAGTTGAGATAGCTGAGATAGAAAAATAGAACTCCCGACCAGTCAATATAGCAATCACTGGCTCTTTTGTTAATTGCCAAGTTGATAGCAAGAGAAATCAAATCATCCTGGCTCCCTTGGTCCAAGAGCAGGAAGGCACACACAACTGCATGAGCTGAGGGGTTTTGGGGAATAAAAGCTTCTGGATAAGGATATATCACAGTTAGTCAGACATGCACATTGCTAAGTCATAAGAAAGAACTCTAGGGTAACAGAGAAAGTAGTTAAGACTAAAAGAAGAAGAGGAGAATAATCTCATAAGACGCATGGAAAAATGTTTAGGCCAAACTGCTTATACTTTTTATTTGTATATACTATTTGCTACCAAGTAATGAAACTGAAGTATCCTCTATAGAAGAAACATGTATGCTTTTTGATTTAACTAAACCTCACACAGTAAATCAAAGCTTTGAACTCTTAGTACATTCTTCCCCAAATTGGTACCTTCAGAAGTGTTAGGAGATACAATTTGGGTCTGGCTAGTCTAAGGAAAAGAAGAAACAGGGGAGACAGGATATCAGTGTTCCAGTATCTGAGGGGCTGCCACAAGGCAGACGGGGCCAGGTTGTTCACCAAAGCGCCAGATGGAAGGACGAGAAACAACGGTTGGAAACTGACCAAAGAGAGAAGCAACCTGGAATTAAGGAGAAACTTCCTGACAGTGAGGACAATCAACCAGTGGAACAGCTTGCCTCCAGAAATCATGGGCATTTCATCACTGGAGATTTTTAAGAAGAGGCTAGACGGTCACCTGTCTGAGACAATATAGGTTCTCCTGCTTGAGTAGGGGGCTGTACTAGAAGACCTCCAAGGTCTATTCTATTCTATTCTATTCTATTCTATTCTATCTGAAAGGCACTAAATTTAGAGATAGTATTTTAACATATTGTAAGGTATCTGGGGCATGGCTGCAATATTGCGGCATGACTGCAGTTGGCAATAATGCTCTTATCTTCTGTTTTCCTAGCAAGGGGGGGGGATCTTTATTTCTTTTACACAAGGACTCTTGCCTATTTTCAATTATTTTGAATATCCAACAAGCAAGCAACAACATATTCATATTGGAAGAATAAAATAGTATGATATTCCCTTAAATACCATTATAATTGTAAAGGCATTTTACCTTAGAGTGGAATCATTACTGATACTGGTGTAAATTTCTTAGCACTTTTAAAAAATTTAAATTGGAATATTGGGAGATAAGTTTATTTTTATACTTCCTTGTGACTCCGTTTCCTCTTCCACATTTGCTAGAATGCCTAACTTTATCTTTTCATTGACAGAGAATAGTTTCTTTTCAAGCTTACTTTTGATTTTTCACAGATCTGTGGTTGGAAAGCAGATGAGAGTTTTCTTTTATTTATGATCACATTTGCTCTCAGCCATTAGACTTAACTGGTTCTAATGGACTTAGTTACAGTTTTTTGTTTGTGTTTTACCTTATTACTTTGAAATTAATTCAGTGCACCTGCCTGTATGACAGTTCTTTTTCCACGTGGCCTGAAGATACATATTTTGGATTCCATAGTGATTTAATGTTTATTTATTTCAAACATTTATACAGCTGTCCATCTTTCAGCCAACTCTGGATAACTCGCAATCAAATCATGTTTGACTTCTTAAAGTTAGATACTGCTGCTTTGATGAAGTGGCTTACAAAAATATTTTACCCAGATAAGGTGATAGCTTATATCTTACGATAAGTCCCACTTTCCTTCTATGAGTAAAATTTCAACTCTTTATTAAGGAAGAGAGATAATTCAGTGGTGGTTAATATTAAGTCCCTATTTCCTTGAGTCATAGTCAAACCTTTGTACATTCTGTATAATAATGTTGCACACATGTAGAAAAGATTAGGCTTTGATCATGCTGCTACAACCACCATTTTGCCTTTTTTGACCCTCCTAACCCACTCCCACCTTTGATACTTGCTAGGATACAAGTGCATTTGAAGTAGTGTTTTCTACAACATGACTGATTAGTTTCACGTACAATACATCATCCTTCTCTTTCTCTCCTTTTCATGTTAACATGGCAATAACTAGACGGGACCAAATATCCCAAAAGGGCCTATTACAAGGCATGCTGGCAAGACTGAAGCACTAGCTCTTGAAATATTAAAGCAGTTACATTCTCCATAGGGATCAGTGCAGCTGATTTGAAGGCTTTCCTCGTTGTCTTTACTTGCACAGTTCCACCACTTCACTTTGGTGTTCATTCCAATGAAAATCGGGGCTTTGTCTGCCCATATATGCAGAGACATCTAGGAGAGACTTCTAGCAAAGGCAGCTGCTCCAGCACTTCACGAAGGGTATTTGATGAAGCATCTCTTGGAAATGCTTTGCCCAGCCCCTAGGAACAAACGAATAGGAAGTCGCTTCTTATGTGAAGCTGCTTTCTCTTTTGAAAATATGAATAGGCCTCTGTCTTATTGAAGTACGTCTATAGGAGTCGAAACCATTTCACTGAGCAGTTTGTCTATGGACATTTTTCCTGTAACAGCCAAAGCATTCTGCAAGTTGCAGTCACAATACAGCAAAGGGCAACCCACTTGGAAAGGTTAGATTTATTTTGGAATTAATTTCGTAGGTCAAAAGAAAAAAACAAATACCCAACAACCATAAAGTGAATTGCCTCTGCCAGTTTTCTAGAAAGCAGCAACTCGGTGCCTTTTGCTTGGTCGGTATTCCTAATCTGTGGTTCCTTTGCCTCTCCAGGGTTTTCTAACCTTTCTTTGGGAGACCAGATGAGCTTACTGCAGAGCGCCTGGATGGAAATCCTCATCCTGGGTATTGTGTATCGCTCATTACCTTATGAGGATAAACTGGTCTATGCTGAAGATTACATCATGGATGAGGAACATTCACGTTTGACAGGGCTCCTGGAGCTCCATTTGGCCATCCTGCAGCTGGTGCGGCGGTACAAAAAGCTGAAGGTGGAGAAGGAAGAGTTTGTCACTCTGAAGGCCCTGGCTCTCGCCAACTCAGGTAAAGTCATGGACGAAAGGATCAGCAACTGGGAATGTGGGGGGATTGTTTTTTTTTTATAAGAATAAAAAAATGGTACCTGTGCTTTGAAAGGAGGAAAAAGCCCATTGTTACAATTTGGGAAGAAATTGCCCACCATCTGAATTCAGGCTAATAGCTCCCCATCTCCTGACATCTGTTAAAAAAAATAATAGTTATTGATTTTGTAATCAACAGTCCATCAGAACTATATTGCTAACAGTTCAGTATTGGCTTGCTGGAAACAAATCCCATAATATTGGCTCATTTTTATAATCACTTATCAAGGTTCGGTCCTTTGTGCACTTCAGAAAACCAGGATGGGAAGCCTGATGAGTTTAAAACTGCAGCTCTGAGCCTATTTTGATCAGCTGTTATATATGTTTATTTTGCATGGGGCTCTTCCACCAACCTATCATCTTGCAGTGCTTTTGAATCGTTTAAATGCACCTGAAAATGATCTGGGCGGGCTGATTATTTTTGGATCTTTTGGCTCGAAGGACACTAAAAGCATAGCACGTTTATATATTTATGACACTAAAGTTACAGAGACCTATCAACCAATCAGTTATTTTACTTTTTGTCGCAAAGCTGAGCACAGTGAGCTATCAACCAATTACTTTCTTGTTTATTAGCCAGTAAACAAGTGCCATATCTCTATAATCTGTTCCTCAGATCCATATCTAAATACAAATCCCTTTCTACTCTATTCAGAAGTGAAAGAAAGCAAGTTATTAGTCTTCTCCCATATTTCTATAGTCGCCATGTTGGTAAAATTCCATTGCCTTCCAAAAGACTAATTCAGACAAAACAATCCAAAAATCTGCATTTTGGACTGTTTTGTCTGCTTATACCAATGTCCCACTAGGAAAAAATCCCAGAATTGTGGGCAGGGGTAGAGGAGAAAGCTAATAAAAACCTTTCATAAAATCACAGAATTGGAGGAGGCTATATACCGTTGATCCCTACCCACTAGTCAGTGCAGGAATCCAAATTAAAGCATCCCGTGTGAATGACTCTAGCCCTCATTTGAGCACATCTCATAAGGGGAAGTCCACCCTCTCTCAGGGTAATTAGTTCTATTGTTAAACTGCTTTTATTGTTAGAAAGAGGAATTTTTTTCTAACATTCAGCTAAAATCTGCCTTCCTGTAACTTAAATCCACTATTTCAGTCTTGCATTCTGGAATAAAAGATGGCACGTCAGGGGCTTCTTCTATATGATAGCCTTTCAGGTATTTTAAAATTGCTATCAAATCCCCCCTCAGTTGTCTTTTCTGGAGGCTAAACACAGCCAGCTCTTTGCACGAGTTGCAGGAGAAGCGCAGTTCAAAACTGGGTTGACAAAAGCAGAATAAAATAAAAAATAAGTTCCAATGATTTAGAATTTGTTTTTCAATTGATGCAACTATAAATTACATTCTGAGCTTGCAATCAACTATTTTTTCAAGATCTTTTTCATAAGTACCAAGCCACATATTCCCCATTTCATTCATTCCTATGTATTTTTTTGTTTTTGTTTTCCTAAGTGAAACAAAAAAAATATTCTATTATTTTCAGCTCATTTTTCTAACTTATCAAAATCGTTCTGAAATTATTTGTCTTCTGAAGTGTTAGCATCCCATCCATATTTGTGTCATCTGCAAATTTGATAAGCATTCCCCACACCTCTATCTAGGTCATATGGAAAAATAGAAGACAATGTTCGAACTGTAAAGTACAGTAAATATAGCTTTTTATTTTTAATGTAAAATAAATCTTTTGACTGATTTTGAGTCTCCCTGAGTTGGTAGTCATATAAATTTAATATATTATTAGTGTTTGTGTTGCTTTTGTTCCTAATTGCCTTTCTTTTTTGCTATGTGTTACCATAATTGCAGCAAGAGCTTTGAAAATAATTCAGGGAGGATTCTTCCAATCCATGTATTAGTATACTGCACAAATTAGAAAGCAGAAATATAGACAAACAAACTGATATCTGATTAGCAAAAAGCAAGCAAACCCATCCAATTTTTCAAGGCTTCTTAAATTAGTTTTCAGTATTTTCAAGTTGATCTAGAAGGAGAAATCTCTTGAGAATGTAGAATGTTAGTATAACACATTAATTAGGTCAGGCTTGGAGCTCATGATATAAAGCTCCTAGTGCTGAATGTGTTGTTCATTTTGTGTATTTCAGGCATATCAAACATCATATTCTAATAACTTTGCTACATAATTTAATGCAAAAATAGATTGACTTAGTGGTATGCCTGTCTCTTCCAAAACACCTTTTGTATCAGATAGGATACACCTTCCAAAAGCCGTTTCTCTTGGTTTTTCAGGTAGCTTTTTTCTGCCATGAAGCACTGTGTTCTAAGATTAAATATATTCCCTGCCCATTTATCTAGACTGATTCCCTCACTAATTTTGCTTTTCCCCTAAAGATTCAATGCACATAGAGGACATGGAGGCAGTGCAGAAACTACAAGATCTTCTCCATGAAGCCCTTCAGGACTACGAGCTGAGTCAACGTCATGAGGAACCACGACGTGCAGGAAAGCTGCTGCTGACCCTGCCTCTCCTGCGGCAAACAGCTGCCAAAGCTGTGCAGCACTTCTATAGCATCAAACTGCAAGGCAAAGTCCCCATGCACAAACTCTTCCTAGAGATGCTCGAGGCCAAGGTCTGACATGCCCAGCCCCACCTGGAGAGCCCAGGAAACAAACTGGAAAGAGAAGCAGCCGTGGAGGAAACCAAAAATGGCAGCTGGCTTTTATTTTCAATCATTTACTGTGGAGGAATTATTTAACATTCATCCGGCAGTCTGCCATCTGAAGATTATCATGTACAGAGATGGAAACTCTTTTAATCAATTTTTTTTTTAATTTGTGGGAAATTTCGCAACTAAGCTCTTGCACTTGCAGAGGGAACCAAGGAAGATTTGGAGTCCTTGAGCAGTGATGCTCTTTGCACTATCTAGGGCAGCTGATTCCTAGCTTTTTCCACCTTCTAGTGTGGAGATCTGAAGCAGGAAATGGTGGGGTAAAAAAATACAGCATTTATAGCATGGTGGTATGAGAGGATTTTTTTTTTTAAATGTGGGCATCAGTGGACCTGGCACTTGATACGATGTTTCAAGGCAGAGGCCCACGTGCCAGTAGCTTCTTTTGAAAGAAGCACCTTCAGTCCAAATTCAAGTTATTTGTAATGTGTACATAGAGGCCTATTTCCTACTGGGAAGAGCAAGTGTGACTGTGTAAGATATTCTGTGATCTTGAGCATCTGGCTTTTCCTATTCTTGTGCAATCAGAACATTCTCAGTGGTAGTTGCTACGCAAGCTGGAGATAAAGTACGTTCTGGGGAGAGGAAGGTCTTATTCTTTCAGAGGATGCAGAGAGAACAAACCCAGACCCTGTCTTAGTCCAAAGTTTTTTTCCAGCACAATTCTTTTCTTCTCCTCTATGTGATATTATTTTAAAACCTCTACCTTCCTTCTTTCTTCTACACCTGGCATGAATCTCAGGACTCAGACTGCTCACAACAATCAAGACAGAACGAAAAAGTATCCTGAACTAGGGCTTTTGTTCAGCTCTTTCAGCAAATCCTGATATTAGATAGATCCTTTGATGGATTAGGAAAAAATATCTCAATATCTTAATATGGACTCATGTTCCATATTAAAGGAATTATATCAAATTCCTTAAGGGAGATATTTAATACTTATTCTCTCAGTACCTTCTTTTATTCTTTAGCCGCTTGCTTGAATCCAACCTAAACAGCTGAGTGTAGGGAAATAAATTATTCTTCATGCTGGGCCAAAGCCAGCAGTATGCGGGGATGGTTTTTTATCTCTTTCTTTCCATCATAATCCACCACTTCCTAGAAAACTGCCATTGGGAGGACAGATAGCTCTTGCCAGAGATTTGGTCACAAGATGGAAAGGCAGACATTTTCCAGCCTCTACTTTATGTTAGTTGCAGACCTAACTCTCAGCTCTTATAAATGCCAGGTTAAAATCTGCTGGTATGTTTTCCCTCACCAGGAGAGAGATGGTAGAAGTAGAGCCTCAGGGTCATCAGAATTGTCTTCCAAGTTGACCTGGGTCCAGATTATCCCTTTGGGAGATTAATTGAATTTCATCAAATTGTCCCCTGGAGCCAAAAGCACAGCTAAATCTTTACTCCTGATTTGTACTATTTCAACAGAAGGCGATGGTATTTGGGTTTGTGTTTTCAGACACTTTTGAGATCCAGCAATTAATTAAAGGGTTAATTACACTCAAAGAGCCAAGGTAACAAAACAAATGAAGTTGATTTAGAAAAGGAGTTACCAAAAACAAAAAAAACTACCATATACACACTCCAAAACCCCAATAAAAGCAATAAAATACAATATGGGGGGGGAGCCTATTGCCAAGAGGATGTTATGTATTTTCTTCCCATCTACTTTCCATAGATAATGAGAAAACAGGCTTTAATCTTTGTATTCTTAACTAATCTCTGCTATTTTGAGATTCTAATCCAAAGGATTTTTTTAAATAAGATAAAGAGGGGAAAACGAGAAAACCCAGTTGTGCAAAATGTTCTTCATTTCATTTGATCATAAACAAACTACTGCTATGCTACCCATATGCAGCTATTTGTGGCCAAAATCCATTAAAATAGTAGAGTCTTGTTATATTGTCCTGGCAGTTTTGTTTGGGGAAGTGTAAACCTCACTTACAGAGGAATGGCAAACAATGTGCTGATTCATTCTTACTCTTCAAAGTTTGTAAATTCATTCCTCTCTTCACATAGGATGGAGGGAGTGAGAAGATCTTTCCACAGAATTTCAATGTGTTCCCTTATTACATCTATTGTCCTAACAACAGTATTCTCCAAGACAGCAATCATTGGTAGAAGAAAAAAAGACTACCTGTTCCTCATATAGGAGTTCCCAGGTGTATCCTTTGGTGCATCTGTTTGCAGATGTAAAAGTCCTCTGAGGGAGATTTTTTGAGAGTCACTGCCAAAGATTAGATGCTGGGTCAGCTGAACCAATAGTCTGATTTCATAGGACAGTTTCTTTGTTCATGACCTGATGTTACAGGCATGGTTTAAATTTCAGTTGGGAGGTACATTTCAAAGGCACGTCCAGGAAGTATTCCTTCTTGTCACTTGGGGATAATAATAATAATAAAAAATCTAACAGGGAGGAAGAAGTTCAGTGCAGAAACTATTATTTTTTGTTCCTGCACTGATGAAACTATGATTTGCTTCACAAGTTGTTTTAAGCCACAATTTCCTTCATTCTGTGTTGAGTAAATCTGAGTTTAAATAACTTGATCATATTTTTAATGAGGCAATTTTTAAGGCAAAAGCAAACAAGTCGCATTATGATTTAGTACAATGTGTGAACCTATTTTTTCATTGTACATAACCTCCAGTCATTTGTAAGCTAAAGTAAAATATCTTCACCTTAAATTTAATTCCTAGTGACGTGATGAATGCCTTCTCCATAGTTTTCTTAGTAGTAATATGGAAGTGGCTTTTTTTTTTTGGTCTTCCAGTCTAGTCTATAATTCTGGTATTTGCTGGGGATCTGATATCCAGGTACTTATCACATTTGATCTTAAATCATTTTTGAGATCAGTTAAGGTTACCTAGCCCTGCAACTAATTGGGGCCATTCTTAACCTACCCAGACCCACAGGTTCCAGCATCCAATCGTCAGTAACAGCAAAAACTCTGACTCTGACATAGAAGAAAACAGGGCCCACATCTTTGAGCCATCTAGAATATAGTCTACTGATGTACAATATAATTTAGAAGAAATGTAGATCCTGTTTCTCTGCTATTCATGGGCCCTTTCAGGATCATTAAAGCCCATAACTGCAACACTGCTAAATAGATCATATAATATTTAGTGAGTGTAAGAGAATGAGAAAAAGAAATGCATTTTCCTTCTTATTTGTAGGTGATTCAGTCTGGCTTATATAAGGTATAAGGGGGCTTTTGCAGCATATGTTTTGGTTTAGCATGATCAGTCGTGTCCCAAAGGAAGACTACAATAATCTACCACAGCAGCAGTTTATGGGTGTGTGTGTAAATACCCTTAACCAGCAATAGAGTTTAACAAGAACAGGCAATCCCATACGGAAGTGTATTTGTGAATGTGCAAATATATTTTTTGTTCTTTACAGCAGTTTAAACAATCTTGAATATACAATGGGTTAAGTGTGGGGAAAGTCTCTTAAGTACAAGAATGGTTTGTTATCTGCAAGTACAATTATAGCTTCCCTGGAGTAGGCAATTCTGAAATCTTATCCAAATGCTAATCCAGGATTAGTTTAGGACAAGGCATGCAGGTAAGTGCCCTCATTAGGATATAGTGATGACGCTAGCAAAAGTCTGCACCTTCCCAAAGAGGTGTATTCTTCTTCTGAGCCTGCACCCAAATCCTGTGATGTACTCTCTCCCTTCCAAAGCTTTGCGTATTTATACACTGACAATAGTTGTCTGTGAAACATAACCTTTTCTGTGAGCCCTGAAGGCAACAGATGCTGCTCTTATTTTACATTCCTCTCTGGAAATGGAGACCTCTGGCCTTGAATGGAAAAAAAATCACTCCCTCGTTTTGATGGGGATCAATTCAGATCTTTCATTCCACTTGTATCTGAGAAATAATGGGCATTACTTTGGAGTGGAATGTAAAGGAACTTCAAGCCCCCAGCCAAACAATATTGTTTATGCCAAATAGGGGTTATTGTATTGTTCTTCATAACTAGATGCCCATTCTGAAACTGTTAAAAGTGTATTTTGGAAGCAAGCTAAAACAACTCCAAAAGAAAAGGGGGGAAAAGGGGGGGGAATTATAAAGAAAGACTGAAGAATGTAAGCGGTTGAATTTTTTACATGTCTGAGCTGAGTTTCCAACTTGTAGCCATTCTTTAATGAATGTGGCCCAAACCAGGTTCAGCTCCTATAGCTTGATGCTTAAGAGACACCCGTCCCCCAAAATGGGAAGCTTGTGCAAATTTAAGCAAGGTGTCACAGTTCAGAAGCAAAATCAACAATATCTACTCAATTACTATTCTCTTTGGGGGGAGAAAAAGGCCCTGTTTAAATATAAAAAAATGTATTCTTGTGCTGCAGATAATTTCAAACAAACTGAGAAATAAAACAATGTACAAAGAAAACTGTTTGAAATGGCATTTATTGCATATTCTGAAGCATTTAGCAACATTACACATATAGCAATGGTACACTTGCCCTACCCTGTACCCTATCCCTTTCATTATATGGTAAACACCTAAATTAATGCCATAAGCATACATTTAAATTAGTCCAGCTAACAGTGGTATGGATATACCTAGCTCAGTTCACATTTATATAATCCAAGTTTGCTTCCACACAATGTTTTCTCTGCATACTCACTTTTCAAGGGACATCTGGATTTTCACCTTAGCCATCCCATAATTTGTTCCATTTGCAATTCAGCTCCAAGGATAAATGCACTCCTCTTTCATCCCACTTTCTTTCCAATATTTGCAACTGAACATGGGGGGGGGGGTGAAGTTTGTAGGAAGCACCTTTTGAATGTTGAGTTCGCTGCTCCCTTTAATCCCTAAAAGTTTCTAGGTTTCTCCTATGGCCACTCTCCAGAAATAACAAGGCCCTCTATTGTAGAAATTCTTCCTAAATTGGGCAA